TTATGCGCGTAAAAGACGGTAATTGTTTTGGGGGGGGGGGGGAAAAGGCCACAGGCTAGATCTTTTCTCTAACTTACAGGGATACCAGTCATTCAAATAAAACAAACCATGCTTGTCAACAGTTTAATGAAAAAAGTTATTTGTTTTCACTTTACTGTGTTTAAATATTGCTTACTGAGTTGAAAGTCGCCCTCTCTAGGGGCATATAAAAAGATATTAATGCAATCCATTTTGAAGCACTTGGAAAAGGGGAAAGTGATCAGGAATAGTCAACATGGATTCACCAAGGGCAAGTCATGCCTGACAAATTCGATTAGCTGCTATGATGAGGTAACTGGCTCTGTGGACATGAGGAAGTCAGTGAATGTGATATATCTTGACTTTAGCAAAGCTTTTGATACCGTCTCTCACAATATTCTTGCCAGCAAGTTAAGGAAATATGGATTGGATAAATGGACTGTTAGGGGGATAGAAAGCTGGCTAGATTGTCGGGCCCAACAGGTAGTGATCAATGGCTTAATGTCTGGTTGGCGGTCAGTTTCTAGCAGAGTGCCCCAAGGATCGGTTCTAGGGCCAGTTTTATTCAACAGCTTCATTAATGACCTGGATGAGGGGATGGATTGCACCCTCAGCAAGTTTGTGGATGACATTAAACTAGGGGGAAAGGAAGGGATGTTGGAGGGCAGGGATAGGGTCTACAGTGACCTAGACAGATTAGAGAATTGGGTCAAAAGAAATCTGATGAGGTTCAGCAAGGACAAGTACAGTCCTGCACTTGGGATGGAAGAATCCAAAGCACTGTTACAGGCTGGGGACCAACAGGCTAGGTAGCAGTTCAGCAGAAAAGGACTTGGGGATTACAGTGGATGAGAAGCTGGATATAAGTCATCAGTGTGCCCTTGTAGCCAAAGACTAATAGCATATTAGGGTGCATCAGGAGGAGCATTTCCAGCAGATCTAGAGAAGTGATTATTCCCCTTTTTTTGTCATTAGTGAGGTCACATCTGGAATATTGCATCCAATTCTGGGGCCCCCAAGTATAGAAAGGATGTGGATGCATTGGAGAGGGTCCAACGGAGGGCAACCAAAATGATGAGGGGGCTGGAGCACTTGACCTACGAGGAGAGGCTGAGGTATTTGGGCTTATTTAGTCTGCAGAAGAGAAGAGTGCGGGGGGATTTGATAGCAACCTTTAACTACCTGAAGGGAGGTTCTAAAGAGGATAGAGAGGCTGTTCTCAGTAGTAACAGATGGCAGAACAAGGAGCAATGATCTCAGTGGGGAAGGTCTAGGTTGGATATTAGGAAAAATTATTTCACTAGCAGGGTGGTGAAGTACTGGAATGGGTTACCTAGGGAGGTGGTAGAATCTCCATCCCTAGAGGTTTTTAAGTCTGGGCTTGATGAAGCCCTGGCTGGGATGATTTAGTTGGGGTTGGTCCTGCTTTGGGCAAGGGGCTGGACTCGACCTCCTGAGGTCTCTTCCAGCCCTATGATTTTATGATTTTAAGACGAGTTTAAAACTTGATCAACTAAAAAAATAGTTGACTATTTGAAATATGGCATTTCAGTTCTCCCTTTGATTTTTAAAATGCTTCCCATTTTCTAGTTTTTAGAGATTACACTTTAGAGACTCATGCTCTCATAGTGATTAAAGTCAACCAGAATGTTTTAGAGCCACTGCCACGGTTACTGAAACCCCAACATTAAAAGTCAAACCCCGAAAGAAAGGACTATGCAACAGAAAATAGTTGGACAATTCTACCTTTACTGATTTGAAAACGTACTTACATTTGATTGCTACTCGAAGGTCTACCTTGTAACCAATCCTTCAATGAAAAAGAAAGAAAAAAATCTCAAGTATTTTTCCCAATATTGAAAGCAGAATGGTTCACTTAATCTCTTTGTATTGTCGATGTTAAGATATGAAAAACTTTTCTGTGGAATTTTTCAGGACAGGACTGAAAGTAGTTGAAGTGAAATACTGTATTCAAATATAGTGGAAAGTATATAGTAGAATAGTAATATATTACACTTTCAGTATGTTATGATATCCAAGAATAAATTAACAAAACTGAAACGGTGATTATATTCATTATGGTTATTTAGAGGATTATTTAAACCCTTTTACACTAAGTGAAAACATTCTTTATAAAAAACATGAAGCAGCACAAGTTAATGCATATCCTCACAGAGCTGTGCAGAAGACAAATACTCTAATCATCAGTCCATTATCCTTCCTCCTACTTCCAGGCTGCTTCTTTGTGAACCTACCGGAGACCACCACAAACTGAGCTTTACTCTTTCCATATAGACCATCTATTTCCCTCCCTCTGTACAGTAATTCCTAATTTAACACGGTAGATACATTTAAGAAAATTATCGTGTTAAGTGAAAACGTGTTATGCGGGGTCAATTTTCCCATTGAAAATAATGGAAAAGGTGGGGGTTGCATTTCAAGTGGTGAGGAATGGGGAAACCCAGTCGTCGGCCTGCAAGCTGGGTCGGAGGATAGGGAGCAAGGCGTCCGGAGAGAGGGGATCTCTGGGGAACGGCACAGCGAGCAGCAAACCCTCTGCCGCTTTGAAGGGAGGCGGGGGAATCCCTGCGCAGCTGCCGGTGACTGGCCGGCTGGGGAAATGGTGTTATTTTGGGGACGGTCGTGTGGTTTGAAAAAGTTCCCAAATAAATTCGTGCTATCTTGAAAACATGTTAAGTGAGTGATTACTGTGCATCATCTTGTTTCAGCTTCATACTTATTTCTGTTAAACTGCACAGTCATTCATTCCCAGCATGATTTGTGACCCAA